CTGGAGCAGTCTGTTCCTGAAGGACTGCACCCCGTGGAAGGGACCCATGCTGGAGCAGTTCGTGAAGAACTGCAGCCCGTAGGAAGGACTCATGTTGGAGAAGTTCGTGGAGAACTGTCTCCCATGGGAGGGACCCCACGCTGGAGCAGGGGACGAGTGTGAGGAGTCCTCCCCCTGAGGAGGAAGGAGAGGCAAAGACAACGTGTGATGGACTGACTGCAAACCCCATTCCCCATCCCCCTGCGCCACAGGGGGGAGGAGGTAGAGAAAATTGGGAGTGAAGTTAAGCCCGGAAAAAAGGGAAGGGTGGGGGGAAGATTTTTTTTTTAGGATTTGATTTTATTTCTCATTATCCTACTCTGATTTGATTGGTAATAAATTAAACTAATTTCCCCAAGTTGAGTCTGTTTTGCCCGTGACGGTAATTGGTGAGTGATCTCCCTGTCCTTATCTCGACCCACAAGCCTTTCATTATGTTTTCTCTCCCCTGTCCAGCCGAGGAGGGGGGAGTGATAGAGCGGCTTGGGTGGGCACCTGGTGTCCAGCCCAGGGTCAACCCACCACATGCATACAAATATTTTTTCCTTTTCTTCTGTTTACTAATGCATAGGAAAGGAAATGATATGTGCTGAAAAACGTGTCTGATCACTTGATCAATAAGTTGCAATATAAAACAAACAAAATAAAACCCCTGAAAGAGTACAACTCTGCTTTCAGTTGGGGCTTGGGCTGAAGGAAGGAAGAAACGAAGGAAGAAAGTTTATCACAGCATATGCTTTTTAAGAATGACAAACTGTTAAAATTGTTTGAATTAAATGTTATGCTTTAAGGAAAGCTCCCAGTTTCAATGGGGTTGTGCTGGCCCTCTTGAACACCGCTGCTGCGTTTCTTTCCAGGCATTTGGTGGCCACCGGGCATGTGACACGATAGCCAAGGTTGCCCGAAGGGCCCGAGTGCTCAGTGGCTGAGATGTTCCAGCTGCTACTGGCCAGTGGAAAGGGATTGTCCTCCAGGAAGGAGCAATTTCCTAAGCTGCCCAAGCTGGGAAATGCTGTTCACCGTGTTGGGAGCACACAGGTGAGCACAGACCTTAAGTTTTCAATTAACTGCTGCGTGATGGGAAACTGTAATATGACTTGCTGGAAACCATCTTTCCTTGCAAACATTTTCGGGAGAAATAATTGCATCCTATTAACTGTAGCTAATTCATCGCCTCCTAATAGCTCCCTTGTGCTCTCCTGCAGAAGAGCAATTTGGGAATTTGTGTTTATCCAGGTAGTGGTTGCTTAACACCTCCTATTACAGAATCCTATTTTCCTATTGCTTCCCATGTTGCCAAACTTCAGCTTCAAGCTAAAAATTTTCCATGCCAGATGTCTGCCTCAGGCAGTGATTTTATTTCTGTTCAGAGTTAGGGCTTTTTTTTGGGAGGGCTTCAACAAAAGTGACTTAACCCTTGAGGTGCGAGGTGGGAAGCATATCACGAGCCTCCCAGGCGGCTCGCTGCCTGAGAGCAGCCCGCTCACTCTGTGGAGGGATGCTTTCATTTCTAGCAACAAGACGCTCTTGTCTGCTTTCACTTGCAGCCACTTTCTCCTCATTAATCACCCGCCACTCACCCGTGCGCACTTGTCACATTCCCCTTTCCCTGGGCTCCTGCTGCTGCAGGACAGTCAGCTGTAAATATTAGTGCTTTGTCCCAGCAGGGTCATTAACTGCTGTGGAGAAGCTGTACCCTTCCACTCCCGGATGTGGGTTTGAGCACCTTAAATAGCCTTTTGTTGTGAAGCTCCCCATTGCTGCTTGGATATTACTGGGGGATTTATCGCAGTGGCAGCACGTTACCATAGCCACAGCAGAACCAGCAACCCACACGTACTGGAAATGTCAGAACCACCTCTCTGCACCCGGCAGTGCAGCTGGGATGCTCCTGATTTTTGCCAACAGATGGAGGTGTTCTGGAAGACAGTGATGGGAATTTGGTAGCCGGCTACCCAGGCGAGGGCAGCACGGATGATTGCGTCACCTAAAAAAAGACGAAGGGATTGTGTAGCTCCCCACATCCTCAGAGGTGCAATGCTCTCGTGCTCCTCCTCTTGCCAAGGGCTTGAGTATTAGGCGTTTCTACAAGGAGATGGATTGGTGGTGTTCTGGCCCATCTGCTTATTGAAGAGATTATCAGATGTATCCTTTCTATCTAGAGCGTGGGGGAGTGAATGTTTCTGCCCCTCTCCTCAGGGCAAAGAGTGCTCAGGGCAGTGTGGCAAGCCCAAGCACAGAGCCGGGGAATGGGGGTATGGGGTACGGAGTAGCAAAACTGCACAGGTCTGCAAGGAGGATGGAGAAAATAAGGAGTCAAAACAGTGGGAGAATCCTGAAAGGAGAAATAGAGAATTACAGGACTGGAGATGCAAAAAAGACCCTGGAACAGGAAAGGAGAGTGAGTGACCAGAGAAATGGTCTAGGGAAAAAGCCCAAGCAGGGCTGTAGTGGGGATGGGTGGGAAAGCAGGGCTGTGTGTCTGGAAGAGCAAAAGAAGAAAAATATGACAAATAGGGCAGACCTAGAGTTTCCATTCGGTTCCCTGAAGTCCTCTCCTCCCTGCTGTAACTCAGACCAGCACTAGGGATGGCAAAAAAAATGGTTCACAGCATCCTCCTAAATGCCCCCAATCCTGCCATGGGGCAGCTCTGGAAATCGGCATCTCCTGCCCTGCTCCCAAGCTCCTGGCAACATTTCCCAATGCCAGCAAAGCGGAGACTCACTCCATCACTTTGTAACAGCTACTGAAATTCGTGGAGGGTGGGAGAAACCCACCCTGGAGGCATCTCCTGCTAAGGCACTCCGTAACTGCTAACCCAGCCTGGCTTTGGCTGTTTGTACCACTTACTTGGCAATAGCCTCATCTCGGTCCCTAATGGCCTGCAGGAGCCGATCACTTGTCTCCTTGTCTTCAGCAGCACCTCGCAGCCGGTCCCGTTCCTCCTTCAGCGTTGTCATTTCCACACTCAGCAGCGTGACCTGTGGGCAGAGGGAGGGTGTGAAACCCAGGGTTGCTCAAATTCACTACGAGTGGGGGGAAAAAAAGCCACATGGGCCAACCTGGAGGCTGAGCGCCCCTGCTTGTAGGAGAAGCTGTGTCTGTTGGGAGGGGGCTACTAGTGCTGGTGCAACCCCCCCATGACATGTGCCAGCTTGGCGCGGGATGCTGGCAGTGCCGGTCTGAGCAAGATGGGTCACCAGGACAGCCTCAGTAACATGCAGCAACAGCACTGAAAGCTCTGCAGCTGTGTGGGGCAGGACCCGCCTGCAACTTTGCTGTCACGATGGCATCAGCGCTGAAATATTGCCCCTCTCCAAGCAGTTTGTCTTGTGCACGCATCCTCTGAGTCTGCCTGTTGCATTCTGATCTTTCCAGGGTTAAATTGTTGCAAACATAATTTAGCAGTAAATAAGATTTTTTGGAGGGGGCTGTTATGTGTCTTGTAGAAGTATGAAGCTGAAGACAAAGGATGTGAAAATTCCCTTCCACACCATGGAAGGTGTTACTGGCACATCTTACAATTTTAATTAGACTTTAAAATAGGTGCAGAGTCTTAAATAGTCTGAGAAATGATCTGTCGTTTTGGTCCTGTGCAGAGTGAGTTAATAGGGTGTGAAATCATGCAAGGATTGCATTAGCTCAGCTTTGCAATATTTCATACACGTTTAATTTCTTTGTCTAGGGCACACACATGCTCTGTTATGCTACTCCACCACCTGGAAACCCTTCCAACGTTTGACCCACCTCCTTTCTCTAAATGCAGCTCAGTAGTGCTTGAATCCTCAAAGAAATCTTTAAATAGAGGGCAGACAGTCAAAAAGGGCTCATCACATCAATGGCGTGGGAGGATCTGCCGTTAGCGCATCATGGCTGGGTTGGGGGGGAGGAAAGTGCGAACGCGCCCTGTCTGTGTGCAGAGGCTGCCAGGGAATCAGGGAGCTCTGCCCAAGCTGTGCCCTCCTGCAGCCCAGCACGGGATGCACCTCAGAGCAATCATGTCATGGAGAGCAGTGGTGGGAGCTATGTGAAAGGTGCTGAGCACTTCTGCAGAAATCCCAGTGGATCAAGAGGCCCAAAAAATGGCGTTTGGGGATAGGTTTGTGGTTTTAGTTGTTTTTGTCTGTATTTCAAGTAAGAATGGGATGCCACAGAGGGAGGAAACGGACCAGGCAGAAGGTGTGAAACCACTTTCCAGCGTAGAGAGAGACAGGGGCAATTCCTGTCTCCACCAGCTTCCCTTGCTTTCAGGCAGGACCAATGAATGTGTGTGGTGCTACAAGGTCCCAAAAGCCATTTAGGAGGAGTTCCCCTTTTATTGTATCAATACTAGTGACAGGACAGACGAATGCACAGGCAGCAAAGCACTGCTGCCCCAAGTGGACCAGATCTCCATGTGCATTGATTTTCTTTCGGACTGAACTGAAGACAGTGTTGCTTTTTCTATGGGAGGTGAAAATAATTATTAACCTTGAGCAAGTGCAAGGCTGGGTTATGGGCAAAAGCTGCGGGAGATGTGTACTTGCTGCGTGAGGCTGGAGTGCTTCTCCAAGAGCAATGTCTGCTGCATTTGTAGTTATGCCCCATCTTTCTCCATATAACACGGAGGTGTGAGAAGAAAGTAGAACTGCAGTCTTCCCTTTGCTCCCTAAATATTCAGAGCTTTAGTAGCCAGGGACCCCTAAAAGCAGAGACAGGGGTCCAGACTTGCGATCCAGGGCAGGTCCTCTGGTCTTTCCTGGCTGGGGAATTTGGGGAGACCAGCCACAGCAGAGAGCAACCAAGTGCTGCTCCCTCCTGGTGTCCTGTCAAGGCCTGGTGTGCCTGGGAGCAGTGGTAAGGAGGTGCTGCATCCAGACAAGCAGGCTGCTGTACGGGTGGTTGCTCAAAATCTGTGAATAAGCCTCTAATGGTCTCTATCAGCACAGGACTATGACAGCACAACCAGAGGAGCATCTGGGCTCATGTCTTACTGGGAACACAGGTCTGGACCCTGGAAGCTGTCTCTTGTGATGGCCACATCGCTGAGAGGAGCAGTCCTCAGGGAAGAACATGTGCCAGGGCTGCTCCCTCACTGCAGCCTGCCTCTGATCAGCTGCTTTGTCAGCAAGTCTATTTCCCGTCCTCGTACACATGCAGCCATCACTGCCAGGGGTATTTAATGATGCTCTCACTCTTTTTTCTTTGGCCCATGGTGGGACCTCCCGTAGCCCTACACAAGGCTGTCAGACCCCCAGGTTGTGCTGACTTTCTGAACAGGGACGTGTTTTCTTTTCTTTTCTCCAAAGGGGTACAGTGAAAGGGTGATACAGCACCACTGGCAAGACCAGCCAAGGGCATTAGTCCCATTCCCTGCTCCAGTGCGGTTGGTACTGCACAAGGAGCTGCGCTAAAGGCTGCTTCTGCTGCAGCCTCCAGATCCCTTCCAGCATTTGGAGACTTGTTTCATAGAGATAGGGACTGCAGAGCATCTCCTTGAGTGCCTGTCTCCATTTGCTGCTTTTGGCATAGGACCTCAGACACAGACGATGCTACATTCAGTGCGGACACAGTGTGATTCTATGTTTTGGGTGTGGTGATAGTTTCAGGGTTGGATCATTCATTGCTGTTGAGACTGTCTTAGCCAGTCCCTGTTCATCCTGGGGTGCTGCCTGGTGCCAGGTTGGCCATCATTAAGATTCTCTAGGTATGCATTTATGAGGGCTTCATGATACTGCTGTGGAAAGGGGCGAATCTTGCGCCATGCACAGCAGAGCAGCACTGTTTTGTCCATCCAGTAGTTGCATATACCCTTTACGAGGGCTTAGTGCAAGCAAGACAGGTCAGACTGGATATCTATGGGCTTCCAGTACCCCATACCAAGCAGTCTTGTACTTTGGGGTCTTCTGCTGAGAAGAATTTAAGCGAGAGGTTGGCTGAAAAGCAGATTGGGGGAAATGTTTAAAGGAAGTTTGGCTGCTTGAGATGGTGTCTGGGATGGGCCCCAGACAACTTGTCCAAAACCCTGATCCTAAATGCATGAAGCCTCTGCACTGGGTTTAACAGTCTCCCTCATCCAAACATAACTGGTTTTGGCCCAGATCTTCCTGGGTTATTTATCATGTTGATCTCTTCTACGGAAGGCATGTCTTGGAGGATGAACACTGGTGTTACAAGACTACATGTAAAGTGTGGGAATTGCTAACCTGGCTGTGCAGTCGCTGCAGCTCCTCCAAACTCTGCCTCAGTTTCCCCCGTTCTCCCTCCATTAATTCCCTCAGGGCTCGCGAATCCTCACTTGTTCGCCTAATCTGTTCCTCTAAGGTGTCGTCGTCGCTTCGTCGAGAGCTCTGAGAGCGGGAGAGAAATCTCTTGCTCAGATTTCACTTTTAAAAAGGCAAGTGCATTAATTTGATACTGGTTTGGGATAGGGGATACTAAACAAGGAAGAAGAAAGTATGAATGTGACTTTGGTAGAGTTTCAGTTTTGTTCCCATATAACTCCACAGTGGAAACATGCTCAGCCAAGGGTAGTGCTTCTACACATGATAAAAAAAGCATGCAGACAAGTTCTCACCTTAGCACAAACCGCATTTACAGAGACCTACTGACCATTTGGTAGCATATGGCTACAGTCTCTGTGTAGACCTTTTGCAGGACTCAATATTTTTTATTTAACAAATACAACTTCATCTCTATGCTCAGCCTTCTTACCAGCTGCTACAGGTACTGAAACGAGGAGGGTGAGTACTCCCATGCGGGTCTGCAGTTGCAGGGTCTGCACCGTCTTCCTCACCGTGGCATCTCAAATAAGTCACACTGTCAATGCAACCAGCTCATGGGTGATGGAAATAGGCCCGATTTGAGCCATTGCAAAAAGTGAGGTGTTTTCTCGTAATTCTGTGCTCCTGTGGATGCTGAGCGGTCCTCCATGCGATCCCCTCCTCCCCAGCAGCCCCAGGACCATCCCCCACAGACACCATTTTGTGCCAGCAGGACCCTTCACCTGTCAATGGATTTGAGTCTGGCAGCTCTGGACAAGACATTTGTACCCAGTGTCAATTTGCAGGGGCAGAACCTACCCACATAGGGGTTACGATGTTTTTGTGATACTATTGCCAATAAAGCAAGGCTAGGAAAATCCTAAGAGAAACAACTGAACTGTGATGTATAAGACAATCTGCAGTATTTCCACGCTGAAACTCTAACTTACTGCAAATCTCAAAGAAAGCCTACTTTCATTAATTTTCCAGAATGACTCCCAGACCAATGATGGTTATGTGAGCTTGAAACTTACGGTGATCTGACCACTGCAGGCTAAAACCCCATGTGCCGGCTTGGCTCTTGGCTGACCATTTGAGACACATGGAGCAGGCTGTGCACTGTGACAGCCCATCTCTGTGGGCCACAGAGGTTTTCTCAGAGACCAGGGACTTCAGGATCCAGCGGAAACCTGCAGCAAGCTCTGTCACCTGGGCAAGGGGACATGCACAAGCCAAGGTCTCTCTGTGTCACCAACTTACCGTGGAGTCTGCCCCATCCAGCACATTTTGTATCAGTCTTTTCAGCTCGCTGAGAGCTGCCCGTAGGCTGCCGGCTGGGACATCTTTGGCTGACGAGGTTTCTGAAGACTCATCCATGGAGGAGTCTGTAGAAACTGCCGAGTCTGCGCTGTCGTTTCCTCTGAGATGGGAGCAGAGATATCGCACTTGGCAATATGCTTCCCAGAGCTGCAGCCTCAGCTGAAACAAGAGAGCCTGACATTAGCCTGGGACATCAAGGCCATGGAGATCCTCCTTCCATGGTGAAGTGAGGCATGTGATTGCCAAACCTCACAAATATTTGTCTAGCTTGCTATGTCGGTTTTGAAATGGATGCAGAGATTTACTTTCATATGGTCAAAAGGGTGTTGATACCAGAGCTGAGACCACAACCCCAATTTTCTGGCTCTTGGTTCAGCTCCAAATCCAGATCAAATTCATTAAACTCCCTCTCCCTCTGGGCCTGGTCACAGAGGTCCATGGGCTTTCCCAGGGGCCGAAGGGCAAATACCTGTTCTCGTTCTTGTTCCAACTCCTCTGCCTCCATGCTCTGCTCTATCTCAGATAGCAGGGACGTGCTGGTTGTGTTGAAATTTTGGAGACTTCTCTCCTCACTGAGTTCTTCTACCTTCCCCTGCAGCTGCCGGTAGGACAGCCGCACTTCCTGGAGCTCCAGCTGACTTTGGTGCAGCTTGCAAAGAAAATTAAGGAATTTGTCAAGGAAGTGGGAAAAAAAAATATTAGTGGAGGTGATATGGACTGGATGAATCTCTTGATTTGTGAAGGAGCTGAGAGGGAGGAATGGGTGTCACAAAAGAGGGTTTCCAGCCAGGAGGAAAGTACTCTTGGATCGTATTGCTATTTATTGGAGCTTAATAATCTCCAAATGTCATTAGACACTGTTTAGACTCCAGAATATCCTGAAAGATAAAAATAGCAGGTTAGTCAGCACTAAAATGAAGAATATTGTGAAGAAGTTTGGACTCAGGTAAAAAAATTTGCTGAAAACAACGCAGCAGGAAGTGAATCCAAAAAGAAAAGTAATATAGATATGTTTTAAAAAAATCTATACACATATATAAATACAAATATCTATTAAAAAAAGGGAAAAAAAGGTTCAGGACTGTTTTGGAGAGCTGAGGATCCAGTGGTTGTCAACCCACAGAAGAGAAAAAAATCTTGCTCTCTACTAAGATGCCCGAAGCCACAGAGGTGCTAGCTTGTTCTCTGGGGAGTGACGTTTGGTGACACATCGCTGCGAACACCACGGGGCTTGTTGGGAAACTATCTGAGCAGTGAGAGCTACGAGGGCAGTTACTGCCCTCTGGGACAGCGGGGTCTAAAGAAGCCCCTTCTGAAGCCAATTCTATTATTAAAAAATTAAGTAAAATGAACTGCAACCAGAGTTCTCTGCTTCCTTTTACATTTCCCTCATTTCCCCAGCACCCTGTCCCACTCCCTTGCTCAGATCTCCTTCCCAAGGTGCTCTTTGCTGTCAAGATGCCTCATTGCAGCTCCTGTTATCTGTCTCTATGGGGAACAAGGTCCCCCAAGGACCTTGCTTGCTGCCATGCTTACATGGGCCATTTTATTCTTCCAGTTGTTTTGTCTCCCAGTTCCTGATTATCTTCCTGGTCAATTTTACCCCAAACCACATCTTTTACTCCATTTCCCCCCTCTTCCCTGTCCCATCGCTGCCTCCTCACCTGCAGGTCCTTGTCATGGCTTTGTCTCTCCAGGATCAGGACTCGGTCCTGCAGCTCCTCCACGGTTCCCTGGAGCAGGTCGTTCTCCTCCATCATGGCACTAAGGCGATGCTCCAGCTCCCGCTTTCTGTCTGTCAGCATTTTGATCTGCAGAGGAAAGAGAGGCGGTGTTGGACCCCGCACTTTCCAGGGAGCAGAGAGGAGGGAAATCACATTCCCAAGAGAGAAATGAAACAGCAAAAAGCAAAAGTATGCACATAAGTATTCTGTACCTGTATGAGAGAAACTGTATCTCTGTGCGTGGTTTAAAGCTTAGGAAGGCTCTGAAAGGAAACTCCTCCTTCCCTAGGCTGCAGAGGCAGCTCCAAAGGGGCTGGGTGTGCATTGGCAGAAGCCTAGGGAGCAGGCAGAATGTCCAAACGGATTAAGCGGAGACCAGCCCTGCTCACCCCTTGTACCTTAAAATTTGCTAGACTGGGCAAAACTAGTTACTTTTCCTGGCTGGTCCCCAACTGAGTATGGTGGCATTTTCTCCTGTATGGGTGCTGGAGACCACAGGGTGAGCCTGCAGGATCCTGCTCCCCGCAGGGCTGTGCCACACCACTGCCCATACGCTTTTCTTAATTGCTGCATGTTTGCCAGGTCCTCATCAGGGATTTTTCCGTCTTTTTACTTGTGAAGACTCCTTTCTGTGCCATGCTTATTTTTAGTCTCCCAGTGATTGGTTGCCTTTAAAATTGGTTCATTTCTTTTAATTGTCAAGGGCAGTGATTTCAGGTGAAGAGGGACAATATGCCAAGCAAAACCTCTGTGATTCAGTTAGCTGGGAACAGTGCACAGGATGAATCAGCACTAGCGAAGGTCACTTCTTGTTTAACCATGAAAAGGAGCCTTTTCCCAGATTAGTACACACAGGACCTCTGGGGACTGGGTATGCCATTTACCAGCCCAGTATAACCCTAAATATTCCCTATGGCCTCCTTTCAATTCATAGACCATAAACAAATTTAGCAATTTCCCACTGCTTTCTTGGCCTCTTTGGGACCTTGTCTCTTTGCTGCTTTCCAGGTGGCTGGAAAGATTTGGCTGCATGAAGGAATATTAGCAAAGTGTGTAGACTTGCTATTTCTGCAGGGTAAAGGCTGCTGTAGGTATTAGGAAGCTGCTCTTAGGTGACTAATGGTTTCTGAGATGTCTCTTCCCACCTCCATCATGATTTGCGTGGGCTGGAGAAAAGGCATGCGAGAAAAATAAGAGGTATAATACAGAGATTGTATCAAGAGTTCATATTTGGTATCCAAACCAGTAATGGACACCATGTGAATGACCATGTAATAGAAAAAACATCGGTCTGCCGTGGGCCCTGGGCCATAGGAAGGGCACAGGGGGAAAGGGATTTGGAAAGCAAGAGACAGGAAGAAGGCGAGGAGGCAAGGTGAGGAATGCACAGTGACAGGCATGCATGATGACAGCAATGCACCCATGGGTGAACCCTTTCCAAGCCTCTATACTTACTTCAAGGACCTGCTGCTCCACACCAAGGGGAGGGGAAGAAAAGGCGAGGGACCAGCAGGGAGCAGGTGGGAGCAGGAGAAAAGAAGAAATTGAGAGATTTTAGAAAAGCTCTTCAAGACAGCTTATAAGTAAAAAAAGCGGTAGGGGAGTAGAGTTGGACATCTACCCCTCTGGTTCCTGCCTACATGGTCTCCGGTGACCCCCATCAGGGAAGGGAAGAGGAAGGAAAGTAACCAGAGCGAAAACAGACAGGGACTCCTTGCTTTCCCATGTGTGTGGCTCAGAGGGAGGAGAGGATTTCTGCTTTCTTTGCAAGCATGAGAAACAGAAAAAAAAACCTTGCAGACCTTCCCACCATGACCCAGAGTTTAACCTGTACTGGGCAGTAGCCCTGCAAGAACACAGCCATGGTTTAGCTCCTGGAAGATCCTTCTCATCCGTTCATTTTTCAGGCATGCTTGTGGCTGAGGCAGTGGTGGAAGCTGACCCGTGCCACCCCAGCCAGCCTTGGGCTGCAGCAAAAATCCTCAGTGGGGGAGTCCTTTGCCCCACCGCTACCATCCTTCTCTTTGTTTGCTCCAAGCAGCAGGTTTTGTTTACCCAGTTCAGAAGGGTTCATTATACAAGTTAAAACAGCCCTGGCCACCTTTTGAAGGAGTGAGGCCCAGCGCACGTGACTCACCTCGGCCTGGAGGCTCTCGAGCCGCACGATGTGTTGGCTGCTGGAGGAGTTCTTCTCCCGAAAGTCCTCCCGGAGGGTGTGGACCTGCAGGGAGAGCTGCCGCTCCACCTCCGACGCCTGCAAGAAGACACCAATTGGTGTTACTGTGGGGGGTCATCCCATAGATGGAAAGCAGTTATCTCCTCCTGCCCATGGGAAGATCTGCCCAATATGACTTCTGCACAAGCCCTACTTTTGGCAGAAACTCTGAAGCCTGCAGAGTCTGGACGAGGGAAAAACTCATCCTGGATGGACATTGCAGAGAGCAGCCATTTAGACCATGTTGATTTTCCCGTGGGGCAGCCAAAGGGACACAGCCCATAACTTTCTTCCATTGCAAAATAGCATGACGACTACCATGCCCTACAGGGAATTTAGGTTTGCTCAAAAATAGTAGCCTGATCAGGGTTGAGGAGGAGACCAGGCCACTCACAAAGGCAGAGGGGAGGCAATCTCTGTAGACCCCAGGAAACACTGCTATTAACTTTACACTTTCTAAACTTCTGAATATCCTTGGCACAGCTCTAAAATAACAAGTGCTCTTTGCTTCTGATTTCTGGCTCCTGTCAGGGCCAGACAGAGAAGCATCCACTCCACATGACTGTCGGTGCAGGATCGCTGGGCTTGGCCCTCTTTCCCATTTCAAAGGAGGGATGCCCCATTTATGCGGGGTGGTTTGAGGACAGTGGAAAGGCCATTCCTACCTGGAGGATCTGGCTGCAGGCAGTCTGTATAAAAGACAGCTTAGACATGTTAACTACTCTCGAGACAGCTTTATGGCTGATTTTTACATGGTGAATACACTTGTTTAGGCTTGTAAGAGAACATAAGGTTTTTATGACAAATCCCTAATGAGACAGCACAAATGGATAGTTTTCTATTTAATTAGCCTCCATCAGGTCCCATTACACCTAGGCACAGACCTCCCCCTCCGGCACACTAGCTGGAAGTGAATTGATCCCCCTCAAAAGGCAGCATTGCCATCCTGCTTGGGGCACAGACCAAGCTGTATGTCCAATGGCAAATGCCATCAGCGGCCACAATGCCTTAGACAGGGAGGTGAGATGGGAGGGAGGGATGAGGGCAAGAGGAGAAAACCTGCATTGGGGTCAGCAGCTGTGGGCAGGTTTGGGAGTGCATCCTTATGTCTGGCAAACGTGGGTCAGGATTTGACCCAGGGTGCTCTGGCTGACAGAGAGTCCAAGGCAGCAGCTCCACCAAAGGGTGCAGTGACTTTGCTCTAGCAGTTTGTGACCTGATGAATGAATACACAGACCCAGCCTGAGCTGCCCACAAAGGCAACACTACGCCCTTTTAAAAATGGTCCCTTATTTTGCACAGTCTGCAGTAAAATAATCCAAATCAGAAGCAAGAGGTAAAAGGCTGTTCCAGCTCCATCAAGTGGAGGAAACTGTGGTTGCCCCCAACACTGCTTGCTTGCAGGGGCAGAAGCCA